TTGTCATCTTCTCGTGCAATCATTTCATCTCTCTTCAATGGGTACGACATTACAAAACTTGGCATAAATTTTTTGTTGTACCGTACTGTGTTCCAACGACAGTCGGGTTTAGGCCCCGCGAGAAACTCAACCGAATCGCATTGGGCGACGAGCGTGTTAAATTATGTATGAAAAGTGGCTGCCGTCGTATTGAACGAATCTTGTGTTAGTAGACAACAGCTTGAAAGCACCGTCGTCGCATGGTGCCTCGCAACGACGCAGCAGAACGGACTCGGACATCTCCACGTCGATGGACGACGATCGACCTCCGTCCCGCGACTATCGCGGATCTCTGCTTCGGGACGATCGATATCGTCATTCTTCGCATCGGCCGTACGACTCGCGCAAGCCAGCCGGTTACTACGACGAGTACAACACTCGCAGCGGCAGGGACCACGACTACGACGACCGACACTCTCGCGATTCTTGGGAGCGTGAGAGATACTTTGACGACAACAAGGATCGAGAGTCGAAGGACGGCATAGTAGAGGCGAGGGATAACAGAGAGGCGCGCGATAATCGCGATAATCGCGCGGCCAGGGACGCCCGAGAAGCGAGAGAGATCCGAGAGAGAGACAACAAGGATAAAAAGGATTACGACAATTATCTAAAGGTGCTCTAATAAACTCTTTTCTTTCTGTTGTTTGTTATCGTCACTTACCGATCCATCGTTGTTAACTCAAGTTTCGTCCACAGGATCCCTTTGACGATCGTAATCGCGAGCGTGAACGTGAACGTGAGCGTGAGCGTGAGCGTGAACGCGATCGCGAACGCGAACGTGATCGTGATCATCGCGATCGCGATCGTGACCGCGAACGTGATCGCGAACGCGACCGTGAACGCGATCGTGAACGCGATCGTGATCGTGATCGTGAACGTGAACGCGATCGTGATCGTGATCGTGATCGTGATCGTGATCGTGATCGTGATCGTGATCGCGATCGCGATCGGGAACGGGAACGAGAACGAGAACGGGAACGAGAGCGTGAGCGTGAGCGTGAGCGTGAGCGAGAACGAGAGCGGGAACGAGACCGCGATCAAAGAGAAAGATCGGAGAGTACGGAATGGCGGGAAGAGCGGATCATTCAGGACAGGATGATGATGGACGCTCGTCGCGATATACAGAGGGGGGAGGAGCGAATGGAGCGCAACGAACGTCCGCAGAGACCAGATTCTCGCGACAGTCGTGCCTCCCGAGAGTCGAAGACGTCGTCTCTGCGCGATGACGACTCGCACAAGCTGCGGGACTGCAGCTCCTGGGTGAACGAAGTGGCCGACTACGAGGAGAATAAACGCGACGCGTATCACGAGGATATCCGCGAGAGGGAGCGAGAGAGAGAACGGAGGCAGCCGTTGGGCCCCGTGACCAAGGAGAGGATCGAGGCGGACGAGCTGAAGGCCGAGAAGCGTAATCTGACGCAGTTAAAGCGTGCCAGCTGTTCCGACCAGGACAAGAAGGATCAAGCGAAGGATCAATCCTCCATCTCGTCGGCCATGGAGCCGAAGAAGGAGATGATGATGATGGACGTTTGGAACAGGAAGATCGATCGAGTCAACGAGAGCGGTCGAATGATGGAGAGGGGCGGGGATAATTCGCCAAAGGCCTGGGCCGACGCCGTTTCTCCGACGTTCGACAAAGAGGAGGAGAAAGCGTTGGAACCGATGAAAAGTGAAAAAGACTCGGAAGAATTGAAGCAGAATTTCGAGAAGTTGAGCCTGGAGAAAGGAAGGGGGGAGGACTCCTCGTTGAACGAGGACGCGGCAGCAGCGGCGGCGATGGCGGCGGCAGCAGCAGCAGCAGCCGCAGCGGCAGCGGCAGCGGCCGCGGCCACGGCGGAACAGCAAGCGAAGGAAGACAAACGAGAGAAGAACATTCGAAACAGAACGAACAGCGGCGGGTCGAACTCGAGAGTGCGCGATTCTCGAGGTGGTGGTGGTG